CGGGTTAGGGTTAGGATTACAATATCCCCAGTCGAGGTCAGCAGCTCTCCACCCGCACCATACACGGTGTTGGCAAAGCACTGCTTCCCCCTCCTGAGGCGCCGGAGGGTTTGCCATAACCTTTTTGAGGGCGACCGATAGTCATGCTCCATGGACTCTCCGAACTCCTCCCAGTCCCGGGTTTTTGCCTCTGCAACAGCCCGGGCCGCGGCACGCTTGGCCTGCCGGTACTGGACAGCTGCCTCAGGAGTCCCACGAACCATCATTGCTCGATAGGACTCCTTCAGCCTGACGGCATCCCTTACTGCCGGTGTCCACCACCGGGTTCGGGGGTTGCCGCCGGGACCAGCACCAGAGACCTTGCGACCACAGCTACGAGCCGCTTTATTGGTGATAGAGGAAGAGAACATGGTCCACTCGGACTCAATGTCCCCCTCCTCTGGGTCCTGGGAGAAGCTCTCCCGGAGGTGTGAGTTGAAAGTCCGTCTGACAGGGGGCTCAGCGAGACGTTCCCAGCAGACCCTCACTATACGCTTGGGTCTGCCAGGTCTGACCGGCTTCTTCCCCTGCCAGCGGATCCAACTCACGACCAGGTGATGATCGGTTGACAGCTCCTCCCCTCTCTTTACCCGAGTGTCCGAGACACGCGGTCGAAGGTCAGATGATACGACAACAAAGTCGACCATCAACCTCCGGCCTAGGGTGTCCTGGTGGACACCCTTGTGCTCGAACATGGTGTTCGTGATGGACAGACCGTGACTGGCACAGAAGTCCAACAACTGAACACCGCTCGGGTTCAGATCAGGGGGGCCGTTCTTCCCGATCACCCCTCTTCAAGTGTCCCTGGCATTTCCCACATGGGCGTTGAAGTCCCCCAGGAGAATAACGGAGTCCCCGGGCGGTGCACTGTCCAGTACCCCTCCCAAGGACTCCAAGAAGGCAGGAACTCGGCACTGCCGTTAGGCCCGTAGGCCGTCACAACAATGAGAGACTTGTCCCACCCGGAGGCGGAGGGACGCGACCCTCTCATTCACCGGGGAGAACTCCAACACGTGGCGGCTGAGATGGGGGGCAATGAGTATGGCCACCCCAGCTCGCCGCCTCTCCCCGTGGGAAACACCAGAAGATGACTGACAGGTATGAGATGATGATACAATCATCCCCATCTGAGAAGTCCTCTATCTCAGAGTTGTCTGCAATTGCCAACAGCAATTGTTCTGCTCTTGACAATGAAAGTGTGCCTGTAATGATAATGTTAAAAACCAACATCAAAATCTACAGTATATCAGTGACACTTCATAGCTTGGCTATCATGTGCTAGCTATAGCCTAGCTATATTGTTTATGATTTAGAATTTAGCAACACTAAACAATACTTAGCATATACCACTTAGTACTTAAATATACTATTTACAACTGTAAACCACATAACTAAGCAAATGTGTGATTCAAAATAACTATTTACAACTGTAACTTCATCTAAATCTTCCACACTGTTAGCTAAACAGATAGCGGTACATAGTCCTAGCGTCCTCAAACGAGTGCTTCACTTTTACTGACATCCTAGCCTGCTACTACAATCAAAATTTGTCAAATTTCAAACTCCATATGAAGCTAGAGACATTATTGTGCATAAAAAAATGTATTTCATTCATAAAATGTTGATAGAATTTTTACCTGGGGCATTTTTCTTCTGTAAACTCTTGTAGAAGTCTTTTGCTGATATTGCCACCAATTTTTTCCTACTGCCTTAAGTGTAATTCTATCATATCACCACAAGATGGCGCGGGCAGTGTCCCTAAATGTGGCCATCAGGTCAAGGATGTAAAAAATTGAGTATCATTGTGCCAAGAGGCAAAAATGTAATGTCCTCGTATGAGGTCGCAGGGTCTCAGGAGGATAAGCTCGTGGTGTTTTGTTTTTATTTGATTGTTAGTTTATGTGAACTAATGACAAGGTATGACAAGGGAACAGACCTGATTTTCTGCATAGGTTTCCTCCATGTGCTGCGGTTTCCCCTACCACTAAAAATATGTACAATAGGTCTGGCATGGGCCTTCTGTATACAGGGATCCAACTCTCATCTCAGTGTGGAGTGAGAGGACAAATGCCCACAACAATTGTAAAGCGCTTTGTGACTCTGGTCTGTGAAAGATGCTACTGTATATAAATAAAAATTACTTACTTACTTACATACTGATCCCATCCAATGCTTTCAACTGGATGGCTCTTTGGTTGCTAGGTAGTTGTGATGAGAGAACTGGGCTTAAAATTCTGGACCAAAAAGCTTTTCCAGTTCCATCATTTTTCAGGATATGAGGCAACGCCCCGCACCCCGTTAGTCCACCCCTTTCTACTATTGAATTGAATTGTAGTCATTAGTTGGCAAAAATAATGTTGATAATGTATAATAATACACCATAGACTTAATTACATTGTTTTAATCATTTGTATAGTTTCAATGGGCCTCATGTATGAAAATTGCGCAGAAAAAGGTGTACATTTTGGGTGTAGATCCCAGATACGCACCTGCGGCTGTTGATAAATGCCGTGCTCCAAACCAGCGTATTTATGAAAGTTACGCCTAGAAATATTCAGAAACTGCCTGTTCCACGCCCTGTTTTTGCGACAGGTCAGCAGGAAGTCGGCTAAGAAGCCGCAAAAAGCACGCACTTTTGAGTTTATTCACGTTTAAAAAATATATATATACGCTATATTATATATACACTTTTTCCCCTAGTGTCTAGACCCACTGCAGCACTCATCTCTCCTGAAATTTCGACGTAAATAAATAAATAATAAATGACCTGAATGAATGAATGAACTATACTGCTGGTGCGCATCACATCCTATCTCTGCTCTGCGGAGTAAAGGGCAATGCCTGAGACAGTTTTGAGCAAATTTAAAATCATAGAAACAGAAGAGGCTCCTCATCATGATCTGTGATTTATTCGAAGTTTGCGTGTTTCCAGAGTGTTAGAATTTTTCTGATGCGCAAATTCAAATTCCGAAACATGATGCTCCATGAAAACGCAGCTTATAATGATGCCAGAGGGAATATGTTTATTGTTGTCCAAATCTTGAATTTCATGCGTGTTTTGACAAAGGGTGAAATGAGCGTACACATTTACACCACCTATTGACTTGATGTAAATTCTGTGCGTACCGTACGCTCACGTCCAGATTGATAAAAGCGGAAAAGTCTAATTTTTTTGCGTACGCATCATTTACACCCTGATTTGGCCGTACGCAAGTTTCATACATGAGGTCCTATGTGAGGTACTCCAGCTTTTTTATAATATTACAAAGTATGAAACTGAGGAGCATTTAACTGAAACTCAGATTTAGGGATCAGTGAACAAATAAGAGTCTCACCAGATAGATAGATAGAGAAATTCAGGAAAATATATTTATCAATAGGCTTACCATAAAGTCATGTAAAACCAGTTGTTCCATTCCCAGCCCAATAACATTGAAGATTCATAAATATATGTTTTTAAATGACAATAAACTCTCCAACACTATACAATTCTCCATCAACAACATTATTGGCATAGGTAACCATAGCAACGGTTGAACCTTTGAGCCAAACAGACTTTGTTAAGAGCACATCGGACCAGACATTCAACAAACCAAACTCAGACAGAGAGAATCAAAGTCTAACTTTATTATATATACAGTAAGTAAAGTATCTGTAGCTATTAGCATGATGTCTAATGAGACTTCTGTTTTAAGCCTCCCAAAACCAGGCAAGAACTTACCAGAAGTTGGCAAACGGAAGAGTAAGAAAAAGGATGCATCGTTTGCTCCAATGGAGAAGGTGGAAAACCTGCAGAGAGCACAAAAGGAAACCACAAAAGATATTTTTGGAAAGAATAATCCAGTGAATGGGCTCACCTTCCAAAAACTCAGACCAATATCCGTGTCTGACAATGATGTGAAGTTAGAGGAACGTTTTCCGGTCAAACGTAATCTTCTTCTCCCACTGCCTTCATTTGTACAGGAGAAAGTCGTCAAACAAAAGAAGAAAGACAAAAAGATTATTTTTGCTCCAATGAAGAAGGAAGAAAAAGGGTTTGATATGGAAACCTCAAAACCAGAGAATAGGCCTCGCTCTTTTCTAAAAGTTAGACCCATATCATCTCAAGAAAGTAAGGTCAAGAGAGAAGAGAAGAGTGAAGACGATGGATTGGACATTCTGAAATCCATGAAGCTTGATTTTGATGTTGCAGATCTTACCAATGTTCTACACGATGAGGTTAAAACCAATGATAGATCAGCCACAGAAAAAATGTATCTGGCCTCTTCTCCACAATATGAAGAGACAGATGATGAGGCCGATTTAGACTTTTTGAGCGTTTCTGTGAACCAAAGCAGTGAAGACTCAGAAAAATGGATGATCCTCAAATCAGGAGGTAATGAAGGTTATGAAGACAGCTCAGAGTTGAGGCTAGATTATCAGAGTCCTTCAAGACTCAGTCCACTGCCACCCTCACAAAATCCTTTAGTATTGTGGGTAGATGAGATTCAGTCGGACTTAAGTGCTGAGTCCATGTTTGAAACTAATTTGCCATCTCACGCCTACAAATCTGCACCTAAAGCAAAATCTCCAGGGAATCAAAAGCATCAAAGAAGTTTCGGGATGATCTGGAGAAATGGGAAAGGGACGAGGAGAAACGCCTGGAGGCCGAAAGCAAAGACAGACTTTTGTCTCTGAGTCAGTCGCTGTTGGAAAAAAGCCAAGCAGAAGAGAAAAGGATGAAGGAAGAATCGGCAAAACAATTAAAAGAACTTCAAGAGACCCTCAAAACCGATCGCAAACGGCAAGAGGATGAAATACGGCAAGAAAATGAGGCTATACTTGAGAGGTTGAAATCTGAATTGAAAGATGAACAGGCCAAAACTGTACAGAAACTCAAGGCTCGTAATAGGAAAAGATTGGAGCAACTGCAGGCTGAGTTAGAGGTGGAGTTGACAGAAGAGAAAGAAAAGTTGCAGAAAATGAAAGCCAAAAGACAGGACTCGTTGATGCAAGAAAGCAGAGAGCATGACTTTCACAGAGACACCACAAAGTCCTTCCGATTTGTACGTCAGGAAGTGGAGCAGGAGCAGAAACGTACATTGGAACGGATGAGTGACGATCATGAGAAAGAGATCAGAATGATCAGGGAGAAACACTCTGAGGACAAGATTCTTCTGAAGGAGCAGCTTCTTTCTCGCTTCAACCAAGAGAAGGAGCAGCGAGAGGAGTGTCTAGCGCTCAGTCTGCAGAAACTGGACTTTGAGCACAAGGCAGAAGTTCTGAAAAGGAAACGGGAAAATTCAGACAAAATGTTGGAGCTGAAGAAGCTGTCAAGTGAGCTGGAAGTGAGACGCGACCAACTGGAGAGCCAAGAAGCCGCGCTCAAGACTAGAGCGGAGAGATTGACTAAAATAATGAGTTATTTAGAAGGAGAAGACAAGGCAGAAGAGAGAAATATGAAGTCTCCTCCAAGTCAAGTGTGTAAGGAGGAGGCAAAAAGAGACCAGGAGGAGAAACGTCAGCTGTACGTATCAGGCTGTCAATGTGACGTTTCCTTCGACCTGCTGAAGAAGAGCAACGACGAGCTGAGAACTTGTCACCGGGAGAGAGAAAACCTGGTGACGAAGCTGGACCAGCTGCAGAGACAGTACAACACGCTGAGCACCAGAATGAATGAGTTTGAAACAAGTTCCTCAAGATCGGACGTAAAAAGCTCTAAAATGTTAAATGAAGAGCCTTCTTATAAGGGGGACTGGAGATCTGGGTCACCTCCTCTATCTAGCAATGTGGATGTCGAGCACAGAGCCAGACGCTTCCTAAAGTTGGAAGCAGACAGACTGGAGGACTTGAGGAGAAAAGAGTCTGAATCACCAAGTTCAAGGTTTTTGTCCTCTTGGGGTAAATACAGGACAGAGTATGCACACAACAGTATGGTGGATCTCAACAACAGAGGGTACCGCTATTAAACCTACTGTTATAACAGGAATCTAGACTTAGGCATAAACCGAATGATATAAAAGAGCAATAGGAATAACAGACTGTAGAAATAGCAAACAAGGAGATTAGTTTGCTATTACTAATCTAGTTGTTTGCCAGAGATCATGTGACGGTGCTACAGTGACATGTCTTGTTGGCTGACTACATACACATGACGAGGAAAAACACAAACTTTATCCACACAAATCAGGCTGGATAGCAGTGATGCACAGTTTTGATCCACAGGGTTGAGAAAGTCTCCTTCGTGAGCAGTCTCGGCTCGGTGGAGAGTCCTGTATCATCACATGCACAGGTCGTAGTGTCCGGTATATTTGACATTAGAATGAACTATAGCGTTTCCAGTTTGACAGATCTTCAACAAGCTTTCAGCCTGTGGGAGGTCTGATGGGCACAACAGCTCTGAAATAAATAAATAAATACTTTAATATAACCACTCAAGTTTGTGCAGTTTGTCATGTGTTTTGGCCTTTAGGGATATTTTGTGTTGAATAATGCATGTAAGGTTTCTCCGTAGTTTGCTGTCATTGTTCTATAGACTACATTTATATTGCAACCATAAAAGAGACACATTTCTGTTTTGTAAAAGTACCTCTCCGATCAAAAACGGTTAGGGTCCCCTGATACTTATTAAGTTAAATAATTTAAGATATACTTTGTCGTCTTCAGCTTTTGACCCATCCTGTGTTGTGTTACGGCTCTTGGTCAGGACCACACCTGGACGTTTTACCTTCGTACATGTTTTTAGTGGTAAGAGAAACCGGAACACCTGGAGAAAACCAATGCAGACATGGGGAGAAAATGCAAACTTCCCTCGAAAAGCGAGATTCAAACCGATAACCATAACATCTGGGGTTGCCAGATCAAACATATAAAAGGTCAATCTGTCTTTGTGTATCCCTGTATAGCATATTTACGTGTATATTTAAGACAAACGTTTTATATATTTATTAGTAGAGAAGCCGTTGGTAGGGAGGCCAAAGTTTATTTATTTATTCAATTAACAAACTTGAGAAGTTAGCTCTAATATCTTTGCAGTTTATGTGTATATTTTCCTAAGATCCAATCTTTGTTTACTGAATTTCTCACTGTGGGATCTCCTGACCCTTGACCTGTGAATTTGGAGGGAGCACCGTCAGCCGAGGTGTGAGAATCCCAACTTTGACATCACTCGCTCTGTCAAGATAAGGGCATCATCATCACTTCCAGCTCCTCGACCTCGGACCCCCCAAGTGACAAATGATAACGAAGAAACCAAACTTGAAAAAGCATCAACCTAACATGTTACTTTCCACATTCAAGACATTATAACATTTGTGTATTGGGGTATTTTGGTAAAGAAAAAATCAGTGTAAACTTAATACAACCCCAAATGCAGACAAAAGGCAGACACAAACTGGCATGTTTATTGTATGATAGAGATCTGTCAGACCTGAGCCTTTGAAACGGTCATGAGAAACTGCAGACCATGTTAACTGCATTAGTGCGTGGGACTTGGTATTGTCCTGAGGTTATCCACTCCAGACCACCTTAAATGGTTTGATACTGTAAAAACACATGTCTGTAATAACTACTAAAGTAATGAGTTTTTATGATCCTGACTATTGCCATTTCCTCTAAATAGTCATGTGGTTTCAATCTACACTTTTCCACTGATTTTTTTAAATAATAAGTGCATTTTATCTATTCTAGCCTTGCAGTTGAGCATTAGTGAAAGTCAAAAGTAAACAAGATTCTGTATGTGTGTGATTCAATTTGCCAAAAGTGTGCCTGTACCCTAACTAATGATAGCAATTTTACTTAGAGTTATACGTCTCTAAAGTTTGAGGCAGCTAAGGCAAAGTTTCGCCTTGGAAAGTATCACGAGGCATGTAGACAGAAGGATTCAATTCAATCCAATGTATTCTTGTATAGTCCTAAATAACAACAGTAGTTATCAGGGAGGACTTTACGCAACCGTTGAATATGCCAACACAGTTTAAACACAAGAAATAAAACCAAAAACACATTTGTATTGGTCCATAAGTGTTGATAAATGTCCATAAATGTTGATAAATGTCCACTCGTTTTAAAACCAGAGGAGACAGATCCTTGGCAGTTGCTCCTCACCTTTGGAATGAGCTTCCCCAGTCTCTGTGAATGTTAGAGTCTAAATCCCGACTTGAGACATATTTGTTTGGTCAGGCTTTCTCACCTCACTGCACATAGACCTCTGCACTGCAAAAAATAACACAAAATAAGCAAATACATGCTTAAATCCAGTGTTTTTTATCTTCATTTGAGCACATTTTGATTCTCTAAAACAGGATTTGTCATTGGGGCAAGAAAAAATGTCTTGTTTTTAAAAAGATACAAAAAATTCAAGAAACTTCTTCCTTGGAATTAGAAATATATTGCAACAGTACTTGAATTAAGACCAAAAGGCCAGTTCCATTTGCAAATCTTGTTTTAAGACAACTCGAATTGAGATAAAACAGACTTGATTCAAGCATTTATTATATTTTGTCATTTTTTGCAGTGTGAACTGTGTCCATGTTGAGGACCGTCTTCTCCGTCTTTGTTTTAAATCTGATTTGTTTGTGTGTTATTTTATCTGTATGTTTTAAATGTGAAGCACCTTGTGATCCTGGTCTGTGAAAGGCACTGTACAAATAAACTTTACTTACTTGCTTTACTCACCCACACCCGGTCCAGAGAACACATCACCCCTGTCCTCCAGCAGCTCCACTGGCTCCCCGTTCAATACCGCATCCATTACAAGCTCCTCCTCCTCACCTACAAGTCCCTCCATAACCTGGCCCCGCCCTACCTTACTGAGCTCCTACAACATCACCAACCCACCCGCCGCCTTCGCTCAGCCAATTCCAACCTCCTCACCCCCATCACCCGCACTAACCGCCGAACCTTGGGGGACAGAGCTTTTGCCATTGCCGCCCCAACCCTCTGGAACTCACTCCCACTGCCCATTAGAAACTCTGACTCACTATAAATCAGTACTCAAAACCCATCTTTTCCGTAAACCCCTTTTTATTATTGTATTCTACTCCCCATGTGAAGCGTCTTTGAGTGTCCAAAAAAGCGCTATACAAGTTTGATGTATTATTATTATTATTATTATTATTATTACTTATAAATGTTGATAAATGTCCATAAATGTTGTTGAATGTGTCCTGGATCATCACCACTGTCCTTTTAGAGAGACCCTCACAAGGCTCTATCAGACCCCCTGTTGTCAGGCTGTGGTCAGGTCCAAGAAGGTTGCATTTGAGGGTGGATATTGAGCTTATGTTTTTTGAGTGTCTTTGTCATAGTAGGATAAATAAGTTTGAATGATGGAGGCAAGACAAGAAGGACAAGACTGAACACAGACGCACTTTGGTTGATGTTGACAATATAGGGCTCACTGTATTTAGTGTTAAGGACGGGGTAAGTTTGAGTTCTGGCGGCTATTGTAAATGAGGAGGAGCACTATCAAATCTAATCATACAATTTATGACCCACTTTGCGATTATAGCAGGGCCAGGTGGTCAAAAACATTAATCTCACAGACATTAACTTGAAGGAGTCTGAGAAGGAATTTGTACTGACTTTCATTTGATTTGTTCTTTTGGCTATTTAAGGTGGCACTCACATCTCCTTTGCCCTTGACCATACAAAACCCACAGAATTGCCCGTCTGTGTATGCCCCGCTTCTGCTGTGGATTCCCAGGACCTGCAGTGACCACATGAGATCACAGTGCACACACCACAGCAGTGACTGAATGCAGGGAAAACAGATAAGATCCATGAGCAGAGTGTCAATAAGTTATTCTGTTACAGCAAAACAACAAAGCTCCCGCAGGGGACGAGAACAAAGAGAGGCGGTATTTATAATGGCTATGTACAAAATGAAAACAGAATAAAAATGATTTGCCAACAAATTATATGTTACTGTTTTAATCTCACCTCAGGCAGTAAAACAAACACGGTGAGTAATTTGTCACTTATTAATCTGAGTTTCAACAGTCTGCAGAGAAACTAGCGTTGTAAACAGACAGGCCCATAGAGGACTGGCATTTTATATCATGTTTTGGTAGCACTAAAATAGAAATAAGTAGATTTGTTATTGCAGTAAGTATCTGCGAGTTATCTGCTTGTACAGGTGTAAATATTGCCTTGAATTGATGTGTTTGCGTAAAAATGTACTGCAAAAAAAGGATTGGATTGAATGAGTGTAGTTTTTGAACTGGTGCCACAGTCCATATCATTTATTTATTTTTATTTTTACATGTTTGAAGAAAGGGGCAACACAAGATTATTTTCTTCTTTCTGCTCCTTTTCTTCTGTGTGACAGGACTACAATTATTGGTCATCAAATCATTCTCCTGTATGTCAAGTTGTCTTGAATAGCCAATCCAATGGATTCTGCCATATGAGACATTCTGGGCAAAACCATGATGTGTTTTTTGCGACTCGCTGGTGATTGTCAAGTGCACAGTCTTCACATAAATATTTAAATAGCAAGTATTATTGTTACTACTTTCTTCCATGTATTCAGTCTTTGCCTTTCATAGTGAGCCACACTGATGTTTTACACTAATGGCAAAACTGTATCCATAATACATGACTTTTAAAATATCAGACATATTTGGAAAATGTGCATGTTTTTTGTCCTGAAAACACATAAAATATGTTATTAGTCCAAAACAACAGTATTTGCCATATTACCACAGTGAGTGGGAGAAGGCTTTTGTAAAAACAATAATGACAGGGGGAGCGATAGCAAACAGCTGAGGAACCATAGGGATCTGCATCTCAAATACGGGTGTGTTTTTTTCAGGAGAACAAAGGCAGTGGGCTGATTAGTGAGCCGGATGGTATGCATGGCCAAGCATTAAACATTAACCAATCCAAGGGCTCTAATGGATGAGGTAAGGGATGAGGTCACTACCTGTATCCACTTGTGGGTAATGGCTGTGGGGGCGTGATCCAG